TCTTATACCGTCTTAAGACGGGTGGGAGTCAACTTAAAGGGACTTTACCGTCACCTACTTGTGAAGGACATTGCATCCGATTTCCCATTTCACTTCTCATAACTTCAATGAAAAAGAATCACATAAAGTTTAAATACCAGAATCTTGTTTGTTTTACAACTTTAATTATCTAAACTTTGCTAGTACATATTAATTACATTCCATACATTGTAGAATTTCTTAGCTAATGTATAATTACTGTAAAGGCATATATGTATACAATATTAGTTTTTAAATAAAACCAAATATATGTAAATGCATAAAACTCTGCCATGAATCATGTCTGTGAATGTAGAGGGGGTAATATCAGATGAGCTTAGCTTAGATTGGTCTATGCCTTTACGGGGCATCCCTTATGCCTTATAAAGGTCTATGCCTTTATAAGGCATAGACCTTTATTTGCCTTATAAAGGCATATAAAGGCCTTTATATGCATATAAAGGCCTTTATATGCCTTTATATAAAAGGCATATATAAAAGGAGAAAATGATTATTTTCCCCTAATCATTTAGGGGAAAATAATTCCAGTTTCAATCATTATGACAATACAGACAATCCTTGTAAATTTTGCTGGGACCGTTTGATAAAAGTGTGGAGGGTAGGAAACTCCGGAAGCAGAGTAACAGAGTCTGATTATAACAGTCGCCTCCGAAGTTTTTGCCCCTGGGGACAAAACTGGCAAATTATAAACTACTGGCAGGTCACAAAATTAATTAAATTAAAAATGCAAAAATTAGGTTTTTAGGTTTTTTTTTATTTTTATTTTTTAGTTTTACAAAAAAAAAAAAATTATGAAATCTCTATAACATTAAAGATTCAAAACATAAAAAGGATTTGGACCTAAAAAGAAAAAGACTTTTTACTATTCTACACCTGTGGTCAAGGGCCAAAGAAAATCATTTTGAGAGCCACAAATGGCCCCTTGGCCACACTTTGGACACCCCAGGATACAGCATGTACCGGTACTATAATAGTCACTGCAACACCTTCATCATCAACATGAATGTCTATTCTGGATTTTAAATGCTACATCTAAACTATTCTTCCCCCAGGAATGGATTGATAAAAACCTACAGCTTCAATAAAGGTCATAGCTTTAATTGGGTACTCATCCACAGGGTCAAAATTACACAAAAAGGCTCAAATAGATGAATGTTTAGGATTTCGGTCATGTTAAGGTTAAGGTTCTCATTATTACATCGTGCTTGACAGTTCAAATATGAACTGACTATTTTTAAAATGTAAAGCATACGTTGATACCTACCAATACTATAGCTGCTTATCCGCCGTAGTGGAGCCTTGTTTACTATCCTGTGCATGCACGCTAGTCTTCTCTGTGCGGGAGGGGCTGTGGAGGGAGGGCTGCGTGACGCAGCAGAGAGCAAGAGGGTGGGGCTTGTTCAAATTTTCAGGCCAAGTCCACGGTTTTGAAAAAGTTACATACAGCAGCTTTAAGAGCCAAATTGAGTTCATTGTGACTGTAACGAGCCACACAACAATTTTATACCACATTACTTGCTGAAACTGTTATTTTGTTAGTCCCTAAGGCTTTAGTGGGACACCAGACAGTGTTTAATTTTTACAAGTGTCTTTAGGTTTGGTTTGTACTCTGCGATGGGTACTTGAACTAACTTCTTCAAGTGTCAGTGAAACAAGTCAATCATTAGTCGTGTTTAGTGTAGTAAAAAGTCATCCACAGCTGTACAGAAAACTTTTGAGCCCCCTCTGTCAAACGGGAGGATGTGGAAGTGTCTCACGCAGAACATTTTTGAAGCATGTACTAAGACAACTTACTCACATGGTTCAATTTGTATCTATTTGCGGTAGTGACCTCTAATGTTTGCATATTTTACACTAACACCCCAAGATCATCACTGACCCTCATTAAAAACTTCCTGGATTCACATCTGCTCAACATTGTTAAGGAGGCATTTAATACAAACATTAATATTCAGGCATTAATACCTTTAAATATTTTGAATATGATGCACTAAATTAAACCTCACTCAGAGGTTAAACAAGTGTCTGACGCACAACAGTCGCAGAGGAGTCTCATTTTTTCAGATCTTTCTCACTTTTGTGCTGTTTTTTTCTGTCGTTGAAAAATTGCTCCATATCTCAAATCCATAAACCTGCCACTCTGCCCGTCACCACAATGCACACAGCATTCATTGTGTTCATGTGATCAGAATCAGTTTGCTTTTCCGCTTTGCTGCTTATTATTTGCACAGCAGCTTTTTCTGCTTCAGTCCCACCTCTGTGCCACAATCCTCTAAGCTTGGATGCGGCACAAAGTGCACCGACGTGAAATACAGAGACCTGTTGAGGAGGTACCAACAGCTGCTACCATGTAAGCAGATTTTATTCCCAAATGATTCAGCTTCCATCTGTCACCTAAAGTCTTTCCTCCTAGGCCAAAAAGTACTGCAGACTTGTAGCGTTACCTTAACAGAATTTCACATCCTGGACATTACACGGCTTTCGTCAGTGCTTTCTTCAATGAGAGTGGGAAATTTCAGTATCAAAAAGCCCCCCTGGGCTATGATATCATTTGGAAATAAGAACCAACTACTTTTTACCTTAAATGTGTTGTTAACTCCGCTGTCCTCGAAAGGTTGGGGACAAGCTACTTTAAATCATATTTGGGATTGTCTGTATTTTATGTGTGAAGACTCCATGCTCCATGTTGATTTGGGATGGGTGGTTTTTGTTTGCTTGCTTTTGTTTACACAAAGTTCTGAAAATCAATCAAATAAAATGGGGGGAAAAAAGAAATTTGGAGTCCAACAAACAGAGGAGGCATCACAACATGCCTCCTCTGTTGACCCTTTATCAACATTTTCACCAGTGTTGCTGAGAGAAGTAGCTCAACAAATGAGCAGTTGTACCAGGTGTTTGCTAATTGCTGCTGGCTAGTCTGCAGGAGCTGAGTGGGGGAGTAACAGGGGAGGGGTGCTCTGTGAAGCAGAAACTAGGAAGCTTGGAAACTGCAGCTCAGAGGAGAAGCTGCGTTTTGAAGGTGGAGCTAGATCAATCCAGGTGTTTTACACAGCTGAATGGTTGCTAAGGAGACTAAAAGATTTCTCAAACATGCATGAAAGAATCAAACCGACACTCCAAGTATGTTTTTGATGATGGGATAACAAAACATGCTGTAAAGCTCAAAAAAGTTAATTACATAATACTGCCCTTTTGGAGGAGTTTCTAGGTACTAGAAGCCCACCTATAGAAGAGGACTGTGGACTGATAAGAAGCTCTTCCTGGACCTGCTCGCTCCCCGGCACTGTCTGCTGGTCGCTCATGGAGCTCTGAGAGGCGCTGACTGGTTGGGACGATGCCTCCTGAACCTCCTCATCACTGAGTCGCTCTACCTTCACCCTCACGTCCTCCTCCTCTGTAGCAACCGGCGATGACACCACCTTGGAGCTCTCGCACGTCAGGAAGTCGCTGAGCCGGCGGGCAACCACGCCCTCTGAGGTCCCGGGGGCACCTGCCTCCAAACAGCGGGGGCTCTCCGTCAGCTTAGATTTGTCTGAGTGAAACCTCCGGTCAATGCCGAAGGGGAACGTCCAGGGAAAAGCCAGGGAAGACTCTATCGGCTGGGCTGGGCCATCCGAAAACGAGGGTGACGGGTTGGGGATCTGAGGGGAGGTGGTGACCATCTGTGTAGTGCATTTGAGAGGGCTCTCTGGCGATGCCATTGTCACAAAACTTTTCCGTTTTCGTCGGGATTCCCGGCAGATGGGAACATTCCTCTCCATCACGCTGCAGTCAGACGACACGGGGGACACACTGCCATCCAGCGGCGTCAGGGTACAGTGTGACGAAGCGCTCTCAGGTGCCGCTTCGTGTGCCTTATCCACCGCCATGTTGCTGCTGCTGCTGCTGTTGTTGTTGTTCGTTGGGCTCCACAGGATGCTGGACTTCATGAACTCGGAACATGTGCTAGCCACGGCAAACATCTGCATGTAGCTGGCTGCTGCCAGGACGTCGATGATGTTCTCTGTGCTGATGGAAAGGGTGGAGGTGTAGGCATATTCCAGAAGGGGAGCGAAGCCACTAATCGTCACGTGATGGAGGTCCAACACAAACTTTTCCTCGTCTTCTGGCCGGCCCACAAGCTTGGAGCGGAAGAATTCACTGCAGCATGCCAAGACCACCTTGTGTGCTAGAAAGAGCTTGTCCTGGACCCGGATGGTGACATCACAGAGGTGACCCTCGTTGCGCAAGGCGTTCAGCTTGTCAAGCATCTCCTGGCTGTGGGAGGTTGAGCTGTGGGTGAAGGTTTTCACCCCCATGGTGAAGTCCTCCTTACTGTATAAAGAAAATCTGTCCTGCAACCAAACAGCAAAAACATATCACTTTAGAATGCAAAATGCAAGGAGTCTCGGATCCATCTTTATTTAAAACATATCCTGAAATCAAATGCATTTATAGAAAGGCTTCACCAACTAAAATTTTACACTTTTTAACCCCTTAACCTGCACCGGAACGCCGGTGTGCGGTTTTTCCACTGTATTTTCCAGGGATGAGATTTAAGGGTTTAAACTCTGTCGATGTCCATTATGATGCTTTTATTGGGCAGCCTGCAGCACCCCCCTTCCCCTCCCCTTTTGATTGAAACCACATTCGATCAATAATGTTATTAAATAGGTTTTTCTGAGCNGCCCCTGGGGACAAAACTGGCAAATTATAAACTACTGGCAGGTCACAAAATTAATTAAATTAAAAATGCAAAAATTAGGTTTTTAGGTTGTTTTTTATTTTTATTTTTTAGTTTTACAAAAAAAAAAAAAATTATGAAATCTCTATAACATTAAAGATTCAAAACATAAAAAGGATTTGGACCTAAAAAGAAAAAGACTTTTTACTATTCTACACCTGTGGTCAAGGGCCAAAGAAAATCATTTTGAGAGCCACAAATGGCCCCTTGGCCACACTTTGGACACCCCAGGATACAGCATGTACCGGTACTATAATAGTCACTGCAACACCTTCATCATCAACATGAATGTCTATTCTGGATTTTAAATGCTACATCTAAACTATTCTTCCCCCAGGAATGGATTGATAAAAACCTACAGCTTCAATAAAGGTCATAGCTTTAATTGGGTACTCATCCACAGGGTCAAAATTACACAAAAAGGCTCAAATAGATGAATGTTTAGGATTTCGGTCATGTTAAGGTTAAGGTTCTCATTATTACATCGTGCTTGACAGTTCAAATATGAACTGACTATTTTTAAAATGTAAAGCATACGTTGATACCTACCAATACTATAGCTGCTTATCCGCCGTAGTGGAGCCTTGTTTACTATCCTGTGCATGCACGCTAGTCTTCTCTGTGCGGGAGGGGCTGTGGAGGGAGGGCTGCGTGACGCAGCAGAGAGCAAGAGGGTGGGGCTTGTTCAAATTTTCAGGCCAAGTCCACGGTTTTGAAAAAGTTACATACAGCAGCTTTAAGAGCCAAATTGAGTTCATTGTGACTGTAACGAGCCACACAACAATTTTATACCACATTACTTGCTGAAACTGTTATTTTGTTAGTCCCTAAGGCTTTAGTGGGACACCAGACAGTGTTTAATTTTTACAAGTGTCTTTAGGTTTGGTTTGTACTCTGCGATGGGTACTTGAACTAACTTCTTCAAGTGTCAGTGAAACAAGTCAATCATTAGTCGTGTTTAGTGTAGTAAAAAGTCATCCACAGCTGTACAGAAAACTTTTGAGCCCCCTCTGTCAAACGGGAGGATGTGGAAGTGTCTCACGCAGAACATTTTTGAAGCATGTACTAAGACAACTTACTCACATGGTTCAATTTGTATCTATTTGCGGTAGTGACCTCTAATGTTTGCATATTTTACACTAACACCCCAAGATCATCACTGACCCTCATTAAAAACTTCCTGGATTCACATCTGCTCAACATTGTTAAGGAGGCATTTAATACAAACATTAATATTCAGGCATTAATACCTTTAAATATTTTGAATATGATGCACTAAATTAAACCTCACTCAGAGGTTAAACAAGTGTCTGACGCACAACAGTCGCAGAGGAGTCTCATTTTTTCAGATCTTTCTCACTTTTGTGCTGTTTTTTTCTGTCGTTGAAAAATTGCTCCATATCTCAAATCCATAAACCTGCCACTCTGCCCGTCACCACAATGCACACAGCATTCATTGTGTTCATGTGATCAGAATCAGTTTGCTTTTCCGCTTTGCTGCTTATTATTTGCACAGCAGCTTTTTCTGCTTCAGTCCCACCTCTGTGCCACAATCCTCTAAGCTTGGATGCGGCACAAAGTGCACCGACGTGAAATACAGAGACCTGTTGAGGAGGTACCAACAGCTGCTACCATGTAAGCAGATTTTATTCCCAAATGATTCAGCTTCCATCTGTCACCTAAAGTCTTTCCTCCTAGGCCAAAAAGTACTGCAGACTTGTAGCGTTACCTTAACAGAATTTCACATCCTGGACATTACACGGCTTTCGTCAGTGCTTTCTTCAATGAGAGTGGGAAATTTCAGTATCAAAAAGCCCCCCTGGGCTATGATATCATTTGGAAATAAGAACCAACTACTTTTTACCTTAAATGTGTTGTTAACTCCGCTGTCCTCGAAAGGTTGGGGACAAGCTACTTTAAATCATATTTGGGATTGTCTGTATTTTATGTGTGAAGACTCCATGCTCCATGTTGATTTGGGATGGGTGGTTTTTGTTTGCTTGCTTTTGTTTACACAAAGTTCTGAAAATCAATCAAATAAAATGGGGGGAAAAAAGAAATTTGGAGTCCAACAAACAGAGGAGGCATCACAACATGCCTCCTCTGTTGACCCTTTATCAACATTTTCACCAGTGTTGCTGAGAGAAGTAGCTCAACAAATGAGCAGTTGTACCAGGTGTTTGCTAATTGCTGCTGGCTAGTCTGCAGGAGCTGAGTGGGGGAGTAACAGGGGAGGGGTGCTCTGTGAAGCAGAAACTAGGAAGCTTGGAAACTGCAGCTCAGAGGAGAAGCTGCGTTTTGAAGGTGGAGCTAGATCAATCCAGGTGTTTTACACAGCTGAATGGTTGCTAAGGAGACTAAAAGATTTCTCAAACATGCATGAAAGAATCAAACCGACACTCCAAGTATGTTTTTGATGATGGGATAACAAAACATGCTGTAAAGCTCAAAAAAGTTAATTACATAATACTGCCCTTTTGGAGGAGTTTCTAGGTACTAGAAGCCCACCTATAGAAGAGGACTGTGGACTGATAAGAAGCTCTTCCTGGACCTGCTCGCTCCCCGGCACTGTCTGCTGGTCGCTCATGGAGCTCTGAGAGGCGCTGACTGGTTGGGACGATGCCTCCTGAACCTCCTCATCACTGAGTCGCTCTACCTTCACCCTCACGTCCTCCTCCTCTGTAGCAACCGGCGATGACACCACCTTGGAGCTCTCGCACGTCAGGAAGTCGCTGAGCCGGCGGGCAACCACGCCCTCTGAGGTCCCGGGGGCACCTGCCTCCAAACAGCGGGGGCTCTCCGTCAGCTTAGATTTGTCTGAGTGAAACCTCCGGTCAATGCCGAAGGGGAACGTCCAGGGAAAAGCCAGGGAAGACTCTATCGGCTGGGCTGGGCCATCCGAAAACGAGGGTGACGGGTTGGGGATCTGAGGGGAGGTGGTGACCATCTGTGTAGTGCATTTGAGAGGGCTCTCTGGCGATGCCATTGTCACAAAACTTTTCCGTTTTCGTCGGGATTCCCGGCAGATGGGAACATTCCTCTCCATCACGCTGCAGTCAGACGACACGGGGGACACACTGCCATCCAGCGGCGTCAGGGTACAGTGTGACGAAGCGCTCTCAGGTGCCGCTTCGTGTGCCTTATCCACCGCCATGTTGCTGCTGCTGCTGCTGTTGTTGTTGTTCGTTGGGCTCCACAGGATGCTGGACTTCATGAACTCGGAACATGTGCTAGCCACGGCAAACATCTGCATGTAGCTGGCTGCTGCCAGGACGTCGATGATGTTCTCTGTGCTGATGGAAAGGGTGGAGGTGTAGGCATATTCCAGAAGGGGAGCGAAGCCACTAATCGTCACGTGATGGAGGTCCAACACAAACTTTTCCTCGTCTTCTGGCCGGCCCACAAGCTTGGAGCGGAAGAATTCACTGCAGCATGCCAAGACCACCTTGTGTGCTAGAAAGAGCTTGTCCTGGACCCGGATGGTGACATCACAGAGGTGACCCTCGTTGCGCAAGGCGTTCAGCTTGTCAAGCATCTCCTGGCTGTGGGAGGTTGAGCTGTGGGTGAAGGTTTTCACCCCCATGGTGAAGTCCTCCTTACTGTATAAAGAAAATCTGTCCTGCAACCAAACAGCAAAAACATATCACTTTAGAATGCAAAATGCAAGGAGTCTCGGATCCATCTTTATTTAAAACATATCCTGAAATCAAATGCATTTATAGAAAGGCTTCACCAACTAAAATTTTACACTTTTTAACCCCTTAACCTGCACCGGAACGCCGGTGTGCGGTTTTTCCACTGTATTTTCCAGGGATGAGATTTAAGGGTTTAAACTCTGTCGATGTCCATTATGATGCTTTTATTGGGCAGCCTGCAGCACCCCCCTTCCCCTCCCCTTTTGATTGAAACCACATTCGATCAATAATGTTATTAAATAGGTTTTTCTGAGCCAATAATATCCAGAGAGCGGCTTGAGCTCATTTTGACATGTCTGTATTTTTCTGGAATATTTCTGACTAGTCAAATCGGAAACTAAATCTAAAGTCACCAATGCATAGCCAACACGTGTCCTATCATAAGGATATAAGGCAATTTGGGGTTTGTTTTGACATGAATCCACAAGCTGCATGTGTAACAACGCGTAATGTGTCAGGGCTCTGTGCACTCTCATGTTCCCTTATGCGTAATGGTGTTTACAGGACTTTTTTTTTCACCAACAGGCCATGGAGAGACATCGTCTCTCCATGGCTCTCTGTTGGTGAAAAAACCAACAAACCAGAAACACAAAACTGGATGCGTTTCTTCAGAACTTCACAACTCATGGGAGTGGATGATTATGGCCGTAAGAGTGCAGACGAGTTTTGCATTTGAAAACACTGGAAACTTTTAGTCATCCGCTGCTACAGTCAGGGCGAGGTGGGTAGAGCGTACCGAAGAGCGAGAATGGAGGACCGAGGGAATGGTGGAGTGGGAGGAACGGAGGGTGAGGGGGCGGTTGAGGGGGGTGCTAGCGTATTGTTAGAGTGAGGGAGGAGGAATTGAGGGGGAGGGGTTAGCATACCATTAGAAGGGTGGGGGTTGAAGGAGAGATGAAGCAGGGGCATGGGGGGGCTAGCGTACTGTTGAGTGCTTGGGGGGAGGGGTGGACGGACAGCGTATTGCAAGAAAGAGGTCTGACTGTACGCTAAGCCCCTCTGCCCCCCAGATATGTTATTTTATTTATATAATTATAAGCAATTTCCACTATCAGTAATGTGTCTACCAGAGGATTCCTCTGGCCATTATCTTTCATTAGAGCCTCATTGATGACTGTATGTTGCAGCACTGAGGACTTAGAGTCATTTGAAGTATGTTGTCCAAGAGTGCCATTTGGAGACTCCAAATGGCACTCTTGGACAACACCTGTACATCCTCAAAAATAAACATATCGAAAATGACATTTCTTTTTTGTGCGATTTTGATCAGTCTTGAAATCCACAAGCAGAATACTAAACAGATTTATTGTATTTCCCAGTTCATACATTCAATACTCAATGTGCATTTACAAGAAATAAAAATGAAAAATCTGGGTGAAGCAAAATTTTTCTTTTTTTGTGTTACAAACATAATAACTACAAACTACTTACTGTTAAAGTATTTTTAACTGCAAAAATAGAAAATTTGGCTTGTCTTCTTCATAAAGAACCAAGCTTTTGCATGTGCTCCAAATTGTTCAAGAACAGCAGCTGATTTAATTTGGGTATGCCATTTCAAGCGTGTTTGGTGATTTAGGGGGTGAGGGTTAAGGGGTTAAACTACTATAAAACTTGTAATACAGTGCCGAATATACACTAATTTTCATCCGGGTGTTGCAAATAACTTAATAGTGTCAGAACTGCGTGTTGGCGCCGCACATTCATAATATATTCCAATGCGTTTTCAGATGTTGATAAACTGCCACTGCAGACCATCGTGGTTCTTCCTGCAGCCTCTGAGTTGTAGGATGTCTCATCAGTGTCCGTCTTCCTGCCAGTCAGTGTTTACCTTCAGGATGTCCAGAGACCTTCACCTTTCTGGAGCAGGAATCACATGAGCCCAATATGCTGATGAAACATTTCTAATTAAAAAAAATGTGTCTGATGTTCTTACAGAGTTGAAGTGCATTAACAATCTGTTGTTTTTAACTTGTCAATACGTTTAATTATGATTCATCTGATGTTCAAGTTATACTGAGAACAAATAAAGCTGTATTCATTCTAATCTGACTGGTTCTAGTTTTAATCAAACATTCATGTTTTCACATTTTGGTCACTATTAATTAGTATGCCATTATTAAATCATTTTTAAACCTGTTCTGCCCTTTGACTACGAAAACCATCCCCTATAACTGCCTGTGGTTCACTTCCTGCTCTCAGTTCTGACTTTCCAAGAACTGAGGCTCACCAAGCCAACTATGGTAAAACTTTATTTGACAGGTTGCAAATAAGACTGACATAACACCTGTTATGAACATGAATAAGTCTTCATGAATATTTTTATATTCATATATTCAGCTGGAGACTGTTATTCAGTAAATCATGACACTTTTAATACAAAGTTGACATTATTCAAAATGCCGTTGTTATGACAACTTGACATAAACCAAGAAATCATGATCTGACATAAATTTGTTATAAAAGTATTACTGATTACACTTTAAAAATGATGTAGCTTTAAGTTATTAAAGCTAAAGTTTAATCAGTAATACTGATACCGGCCAACCTGTCAAATAAAGTGTTACCCTGACTACTGGCTGCTGTCTGTTTCTGTACCATGTCCTGAAATCTACACCAATCTCCTAACCTGTAATCTGGAACAGATGACAGAAGTTAGTGAAATTCAGCTTGGTAAGGTCATTTCAATTAGTGACAGCTCACATTGCAGTACATGTCCCAACAGTCTCCATAAATATGAATAGCTTTCTTATGGAGTTGTTTTCAAAACATGAGCAGTCATTGAAATTATGACCGCAAGCGAAAATTATATAATGGAGAAATAAAAGCTTGTAGTAGCTTTTAAATGCAGCGGGAATAATGTGCAGCCTATTCTGAAGGTAAACATGAAACCAAATTCAGTCAAATCTGTTCTCACTCTACAGAAATTGAGGAAAAGTGAATAATAGGCTGTTCAGAACATCACTGTCAGCTTTTTTTCTTGTTTACACTGAAACTTTGCTTAAATATTCAGCATTCCTGTGAGTCACCAAAGCAATAATTGGTTGCATAATCACCATTTCTGAGAACTGCTTCACATCTGTGTTGCATGAAGTGACCAACTTCTAGCACCTGTCATCAGGTTTTCCAGCCTGGAGCGACTGGACCACTTCTTTGAAAACGAGCTTTTTGGTGAGATGGAAGAAAGTATGAAAAATTCAAAACAGCAGCCAGTTTTGAACCCAAACCTGCAGCTGCCTGGTCGGCTGACTTCGATTACATCACAAAAACCTTGCATTACTGTTGATTCAAGCAAGATAATAGCAAGATAATTCACAAAAAAAAATCATTAACTCGTTTATTTCATCAGGTTTTTGGTGCTCTGCAGTTGGGGAAGGATTTTTGTTCTTGCTTTTTTTATTTTATTTTTTTTACAGCCAGGATGCAGCTGATTAGCATCTCAAAAGCTTAAATGACGCCTGAACTCTGACCACAAATACCAGAGGAGTTAAAAGTGCTTTATAGATGCACAGAGAGAAGGCAAAATTTTAAACCTTCTCTTAAACGGATAACGACAACTCCAACTCGAATGGCTTTCTACGCAGATGGCCAGACAGAAAGTCTGGCCAGATAAATGACTGTTTTGCTTAGTGCAGCAAAAGCAGATGAGGTGGATTAGCAGAACTGCTACAACTGATGATGCCATCAAGGACTTGTTGCTGTGGAAAATCACCTCTGCTGCCTGGTTAGCATGTGATGACAGTTCTCATACTGTAAGTCTTCAGTCAGAGGTCTCTTCAGATTGGTTGCAAAACTGACTGCTACTGAACTTCCTTCCTGTCCACAGCATCACCATCTATACTTGGGTGAGTTACAACAAGATTTATATTCCTCTGGATAAGAATAAAGTATTTTTTAAACTGAAGAAATGTTTGCTATAGTGGATCATCTTCTGACTGTAGTCATAATGTCTGGAAGTAACTCTCCTGATAATATCTGTTGATTAGAAGGTATGGAAAAAAACATTTAGCATGATTTACACAGCATGTACTCTAAAAGTTAAATCATAAAGGGAAATCTGCCAAATTGTAGTTGTATTGAGAATATCTTCAATAAGATTTTGTCTTAGTGGTAAGGAGATTGCAGTAGGGGTTCAAACCATGTCCATGTTTAGCCACACTTCTTCATTCCTGTGTTCTAGTCCTATACTTATCCTGAGTTTTGATATCAATCTCGGACTTAAGAGGATTTCTCAACAATGCATATTTGGCCTCCAACCTCCTCCAATCTCTTGTGTCGTATTCCAGGACTGGAGGTTCAAGGGAAAGATTCTGCTTCTCTTCTGCTTTGAGATCAGCATTCACACACACTTTTGTTGATGTTTCAATTCAAAACCCCAAATCTGCAAATTGTACCAAATTAAGATAAAACTGATGGATGACATCAGCTTTTTCATGTACACAAAAAAGTAAAAAATCATAATGCAGACATCATATTTGACCTTAAAGAGACTGGGCATATTTCTGAAACACATCAGATAGTGAAAACCTGCCTGAAAGTCAGATCTATTAAAACCTTGTAAAACATTCCCCATGCGCTCCACGAGCCGGGACAATAACACATGCAAACAAAAGCTCAAGATTTAATAACTCAACTTTATTATGCAGACACCAGAAAATGTTTACACATCCACTAATTGTAGAGCAGAGAAACACAAGAAATGGAATCCAAAGAAGTGGCCAACATGTCAGGAGTCAGCAGGACAGCGGCCCTGTAGCGTCTCTATAGCTGTTTAGTTTCTCATAATCAGTTATAACATTACAGAATCCCCTGACTGTACAAGCAAACTGTACTTTACTGATCTCTTGTAAAGTACAGTGGCAAATAATGAACTTTATAGGTCTAACTAAGGTGTGAGTGTTCCCAGGATCGAGCAAAAACTAGATTTATGATGTTGTGAATCGAAACCCCCCCCCCCCCCCAAAAAAAAAAAAAAAAAAACTATTACTATTTTTATGTGGAACATTATAAATTTAATTTGGCAAGCAACTGCTCCTGTTACTGGCTTTAAGAAAGATATTAAGAAATGCACTGAATGTCTACAAACCTAGTGCCTTACACCAAATGCAGGCACGTGCAGAATGGGGTGGGGGGCTGCCGGAGGGAAATGGTGGGAAAAACCCGTCTTCTCCTTCAAACACAGAAATGCTTCGGCTCCAGAGAAAACTTCTGACTTTAACTTTACCAGGCGGCCCGTGCTGGACTAGATGCAGCCAGAGTTGGCCCCACCGCTGTGGATCAGAACCAGATAAACGGTACCACGACACACCTCAAAGCCCCAGTACCACCTGCTGACTGTTCGCTTTCTGCTGCACCTTAACATAACGTGACAACCAGGCGGTTCACACTGCTGCTGACAAATTGGATAAAATTCACCCCATAAAGCCTGAACAAACAAAATGGCCTCTGTTCTTCCTACTAAGAAAGTCAACATCACTGTTTAAATATTGATTTAGTGAAGTCTGCGAGAAGGGGGCCAGGGTAATTGGCTGAGCTTAAAATCATGTGATGTATTTCTGAACAAACCCAGCTCAAACACAAAGATTACAGATAGCATCAGATTGTAGTCATGGTAACATAATCAAACTATCAAGAAGATTCTTTGCACTTTTACAAAGTAAACTTCCTAATTAAATTCTAAATGTGCAATTATTTTTTAATCTCTGTTGAAGCCATTAAATAAAATTGAATACATTGTCATACTCAATAAACAAACGGTAAAGATTTAGATATATGGTTTGTGTTACAATACAAGCATTTATAGGGCCCTAGACCTTTAAGATTTTTTAGGCTGACCTATGAAGACACTGTTACAGTAATTGACTAAACTTAAATACATGGATGTTTCTCAAGATTCTGCTAAATGCTAAATCTAAAGACAATAATTTATTTGTCAACCTTACAAATCTGGATCTTGCAGAATTATGTACAGTTAATCCCTCTGAGCTTTTTCAGTGTCTGCAGCCAAGTTGCTATGGATGTTAAACAGCCAGATATGATTAAGGTTTATTTTGTAAATGGTCTGTTTAAAAACTACAGTATCAGATCAACACAGCCCTCCAGCTCTGTCAGCAGCAGAAAATTATACCTATTGGGGAAAACATAGACTACATTTGCTTTGCATTGCTCCCGCATGATGACAATGATACAGTATGATCCGATTAAATATTAGATTTTACCCTAATATGGGTTGTTGTTATGATGTATGATGTTTTAAGATCTTGTTCAATGTGCCCTTTCTATCTTTGAGCCCTTGGCCTTCCAAAGGTCTCTGCACGGCCCTGACCAAATGAGTGACAGTCTGCAATATGTACATTATGCTATACAGCAAATACAACTTTCACTGGCCATGCAATGGTAATTCATTGTTTATTAATGTATTATAGGAAATCAGAATTAAAAGATGCATTCTTTTATTTTATTTCATTTTAATTTTTATCCAATTTTGAACAAATCTTCATAAAATATGGTTGCCAAATAAATTCACATGCATCCTGTAAGCTTTCATCTGGTAACAGGATGAAACTGACCCTTCCCTCACATACAACTGCCTAACACAGCCCAGATATTTTTATAAAGTGGGGTTTTGTTGAGAGGTTACACGGAGTCAACATCTCACTTGAAGCAGAGAATCCTCCTAAGGTCCAACAGCTAACCATGCTAGATCTAAACCAAAGCAGATTTCTACGATCCTAAAACTGTGACAATGTTGTAGCAGTTCATGCAATGAAGTTTAAAAACATCTTAACCACTGTCAGACTTGCATTAAACCACTAATAACCTCAGAGTTCATTGTTTAGTAGAAAAAAGAAAACATAATCCATAATGACTTTACCATGCAAAACATGGACCGTGAAATGGATGCTACAACAATGTAGTGTAAATGTTTTACACTAGAATTGGTTTAGGACAGTAGAAATGGGCTTTCTTCTTGGCCCTACTCTGCTGTTAGCTTATTAGTTAAAAGTAATCTAGATTTATATAAAATAAAAATACCAAAAGAGAAATCCACAACTGTCAGGCACTGGTTGCTTAGAACCTTTTTTTTTTTGGCTTTTTACCTAAAAACAAATTAGTGAATTTTGTATGTATTTATTTATTGTCAAGCTAACAAAGAAGATAAATCTAAACTAAATTGTCAGAAAGAGTTTATGTGTTAGCATTGTCACATCTTATGGACGAAAGTCAAGACTAGCTTAGTTTATATACAGCATCAAATAAACAGGTTCATGAATACACTGAATAATAATAATTATAAAGAAAAAATTGAATTAAAGGCAAAATGAAGACAACTTAATGAGTGCAGAACACCAGAATGATATTCGATCTGTAACATCTATCATTAGCTCATGACGCTTTGGAGGAAGAAAACGAGCTGCTGACTCACTGAAGTTCCACCTGTCTCTAACGGACACACATAATAATAGTAATCATGTGTGTTGTAACAAACATAATTATATTATTTGGAGAAAAAACTTTCTGTACTTTGTCACTCATAAATGCCATCAACTGCTAAGGCAATCATTTCAAAGTGCAAAACATTCAACTGTATTAATAAGGTTGCAGCAAGATCCTTAAGGGAATAGATTGGATCTTCTGAAGTTTTTTTCTGAAACATCTTCCATCACCTGTAGTAGAAAGACGACATATTGTAGTCACTTTGTATAGACTGCTGATTGCAGCCATTTAAAATTACTGAAAAATTGAAAATGTTTCTGTCCATGCAACTATAAAGCAGCAGATGTACACCATGCACATATCTTTAATAAGGGGCCATTCAGTTTTTCAGTTGAACAATGTTACAGCAGTCTGCAACATTGACTGCTGTCAATCTTACTGTGGGCCCTGTCCACAGTAACCCAAATATTTAGCAACGCAGAGCCTAAGTACTGCTTCAGCAATGCTAGGAATCTTTTTCCATTTTTCTTGTTCTATTTTATGTATATACTGTAGACATTACCACCACATGCTGGTAAACCAAAGGGTTCACAGACTTTATCAGAATCTAACAGACCATGTACCGTACATTCAGCTTTCTTTAAAAAAAGAAAAGATGGCAGTTAAACATGTTGCAAAGGCTGTTGATCTGGACCAATACAGCCAGCATGACTCAACAGATGGAAATGTTGCGTAGTATCACAGGTATCTTTTCACCTGACAAAACAATGACAAACTCATCAATGGGCAATTGTAGAACTGTGAATCTACTACTACAGCGTTGTGTTTCAGTTCATATCCAATTTGTGTTAAATATGTAACTTAGAGTGCTGTCGTCCAGATGTGAGCCTTCCACCATGCTAAGGGTGGTGATCAAGCATCTGAAGACAGTTTAGTTAAAGTTGGCAAATTACCCAGGCAGGAAGAGGCCAGATTTGGAGATGGGTGAGGTTTTACCACATGTTCGGATCAGAACAAAAGATACGCTGGTCTCTGGGATCAAACACAAACCGGGTGTGGTTTACAATAAACAGCAGATTGAAATTCAACATGCATGTAACACTGTTAAGTAACTTCAGTAACTAATGTAACTATGTTACCTTAGCAGGTCACCAAAGTGATCCAAGGAGTTTAAAATGTGCACAGAAGAAGGTAAACATAATCAGAAACAACAACCGTCACACTCATGACCCGACATTATTGGAACAGGAACATTCCCCTCGCTTTTCACCACCAGATCAGTTAGGCTGAAGGAAAGAAAAATAATCGAGCTGCATTTGAGTTCTCTTCTCAAGCCAGCATCTTTTCTGGGTTCTTAGCGAGAGTCTGCAGGAGGCTTCTCTGGAAATCTTCCTCTGGTAATTCAGGAACCAGGAAGTCCAACAGAAGGTCAAATATACAGTAGACCAGGTGTCTGCAGAAACAAAACACAACTCATCACCATCCTATTTTCAGGAACTGTTTCCATTACAAATGTGATCAAATTTGGGTCAATATTCTGCTAATGTCTAAAAAACACAATTTCACAATTGTAGTGGTTCTATAAAAAAAATTAATTAAATAAAAATCACACAAATAAGCTTGTTCATGAAATGAGTCAGTAGAAAGCAGAGCAGATGTAAACAGTAACATCATCATTCAGCCATTAGCAACCGTTGGAGCAACAAGCCCCTTAAATGGAGAGGCTACATATGCAGCGTTTTGGGAAAATTGTAGTTGATTTTACAGAAGAGCTATGAATTCAACATGTTGGAATGACCAACAACTTCCTGTCATCCTCATTGTTTGCACAAAAAAAGTGTTTTCATTGCAGTTTTGCGAAATACATGCATTTTGATTCGACCGAAAAACCACCTCATCCAAACTATAGACTTTTTATCAAAAAATTAGTTTTTCAAATTGCCGTGTTTAAATTTTCATATTGGTGCATCTCTACAAGACAAGTTTGTCAAGTTTTTATTGTATTAATACAAAAATTAAACTATGTTTCAGTCAGGTTCTGGGTTGTTTTGGGTTTTGGATTTATTGAGTCTAGTTTTTATTATTATTATTATTATTATAGTAAAATAACATAATAATAATAAATATTATTATTATTATTAGATTACATCAGCCTCATTTCTGTTTTACCTTAGTTCAGTTCTTAGTGATTCTAGTTTATGTTTATTTCATGTCTATTTATTCTGTGTTACTCTTAGATTCATGTTCTTAGTTCCCTTTATTAGCTACAACCTGTTAGCTAATCAGCTCAGGTCTTTTGTTCCAGCATCACCCTCAGTGTTTAACCCTTCTCCTGCTGTCACTTCTTCTTGCTGGGTCCTCTTGTTTAACCCTCGAGGCATGGGGTGGAAGACCCATGATCTATTACATATAACCACAATTCCAATGAAGTAGAGACATATAAGATATGAATAAAACTGAATATCATGATTTACAAATCCTTTTCAACCTATTTTCTCTTTTAAAAGGTTTTATCATCTGGATCAGGGACTGCAGGCAGAAATTGACACTTGGAGCTGGAACTTGATACAGTGAATCTCTCTTCTTGTCTACTGTATGGTCCCTGTTTTAAATAATATCATCCATCCATCCATCCATCCATCCATCCATCCATCCATCCATCCATCCATCCATCCATCCATCCATCCATCCATCCATCGCGCCCCCCCAGTGGGGGTTGTGAGGGCTGCTGGTGCTTATCTCCAGTGGTCAACAGGTGAGAGATGGGGTCACCCTGTACAGGTCACCAGTCCATCACAGAGCAATGTAAATTATGTATTCAATTGAAGTCATTACAAAGACAAGCTTTCAAATGGATAAATGTTTTTTTTGTTGTTATTGTTTTGTATTTGTATTGTATTCCAATTTTGTTTTACACAGCATCCCAACTTCATTAGAATTGGGGTTGTAAAATCCCAATAATATTGAAATTTGTGACTGTATTGTGTTTGGGGTTATAGGCAAGTGCTAATACTTGACTGTCCAATTAATGAGGTAATCTGTTTCCCACTGGACATGATTACATCACTACCACTCCTAATACCCATCGGTACAGAAGTCCTGAAAGGACAAAGACTTCATCTGTCCAAACATTCTTTAGAAGAGTTCTGCAATTAAAAATAATGTAGATTAAAATACTTATAAATTGTTTTTTTTTGGTCTTCATGGAACCGTTATTCACCTGAACTATGAAGAAAACTTCTATACTGATGAATAAAAATCTGATCATTTCAGCTTCTACTCAAAAAAGAGAGGATTTTCATAATTATTTTTACAGAATCCATAGTAGTCCTTCTGATAGTGTAAAATAATATGTAAAAGCTAAATGAAACCCCCAAACTGTCATAGCGTAGGGTGTGTTGTGTATGTTTACCTGTTAATGTAAGGGTCTTGAAAAGAATCCAGAGCCGTCTGCCAGCTCAGCCTGTACTTATCAGAACCCAGCATATCTGAGATCAGATCTAAAGACACAAAGACAAGAAGATGCAGTTTGTGATGACCAGGCATGAGGTGGTTTCCCACATCAAGACAAACTAATTATTAAAAATGTCCAAAACTGAGCATTTTCTGTTCCAGCAGTTGAATGTCCTCTAAATGAGATTCCAGACAAAGTGGAAGAGTTAATGAAGTTTTTACTGCCTTCATAAACTAACAAAGCACTGCCTCTCCATCCATCACACTTGTTGCTGCACACTCCTGCTCAGTGAAAGGAAGGCTACTTACAAGACAGTGAAAACAATCTCCTGTTTGAATTACACCATTAGTTTTACTAATCTACGTTTGTTTAAAACTTATCTGGTGAGCTACAACCAGCACTTTGCAGAGTTGGTACCAGAGCAAATCACCTGACTAAATAACCAGCAGACCCACAAGCAGGACAGAGTTCTACACAGTGGGATGCTGCCAGTTCAGGTCCAAACTCTCCACCTAAACTGGCAGGTCGAGCACAGAGAGTGTTAATTATTACAGATTTTTCTTTGCATAAGCCAAATTAACATAATGAAAATAAAAAATAAACATTTTACAGATAACATTATCAGAACTGTAATATCATTACAGATTACTTTAGCAGCAGAAGAAAAACATGTTGTTTTTGCGTTTTACTTCAAAATGTAATATTAAAGCGGCAGTGTTGGGTTTTCCAGGCACATAGTGCCATTTTATAGCACATTCTGGTAAGTATGGTCTTGGAAGTTCTCTATTAAGAAGTGATGACACTGGATCAACAGAATCCACATTTTGTCATTCTACTAATTTATTCAAGTATAAAGATTCTCAGGACTGAGGACGAGCTTGCACAGTGAAAATATGCTTTTAAGCAATACAGTTCTCAAACCCTCCCACAGAACCGGTCTGCACCAGTTTCTGCAGTTTCAGCCACGACTCGTACAGAAAGAAAAACATCTCATATAATTGTCTACTTTCACATCCTCTTTCTGTGAAAACAGAGATCCTTTTCCTAAGTAAGCAGACAGGTCAAGTTTAAAGTTTTTCCACAATAGTATAAGTTTAGTTGTTGTAAAAATCCTAAATATATCAAACATGAAATTTGACTTCGCAATTTGATGCCTTGAAATTGGGCCTTTGTCTCTTTAAAAAGCTCCTATTCTTTCCAACACTCTGCCTTCAGTACATCACCAGAATAATAATTTTCCATGATGTCGTTTACAAATGTTGTCAGAAGCGTTAATATATGAACGGAAGCTCAGCTGGAGACTGAGCTGGATAAAAAGGCAAAGCTTTGTAAGAGCAAGTGTTTAGACAGCCCTACTGGTTGCCATGGGAGACTCAAGGATTCCTCAAACATGCATGAAGGAATCAAAGCAATGCTCCAGCAGAGGTCGCGGTAGACTTTTTTGTTGTCTGTCATTTTGACTGACGGTGTCAAAAAAATTAAATCATATTCTATTTTTACCAGTCAATTTTTAAAAGATACTGACATGGACTATTTAGTTGCACTTGATTTTTATGAGGTTTCATTAATAGTCAACAGGTTGAACAGAGAATTCAGAACCCATCACACATCAATCAAGCAGATTGATTCAGTGACAAAAATCACTGACTACTGTGGCCCCAATAACTATTAAACCTGAAATTAAATGGATATACATATATTATGAGTGCTTCATCTGCTGGGGTGTGAACACAACCTCACAACTTCCTCCTGGTCTGCATCTGGAGGAGAAATCTATGCTAGAGTTTAAGATCAGGCCTAAAAAAATCCAACCCGACTTGGACCGAGCCCATAGACATTCTGTCAGAGCCCTATCCAACCCAATTGATTCACTTTAAGTAGAGGAATTAAACCTGACATTATTTTAATTGAGACTTTACTGCTTGTGTTTTTAGGCCGCCATTAGAGTAAGCTGTCTTACTTCTCCTGTTTGTAGCTGCTGACATCTTCCAGCTCCATTTGGTTGTTTGTTGTAGCCACAGGATGAGTCAGGTGAAAATCACCTGGGATTTAAAGGATCCTATCTCAAGGTGTGTGCATTTAGTTATGCAGCGCGCTGTGCTTGGTAGAGTCTAAGTGACTTCTGCACCTTACTTTCTGTTTTTCCTTAGAAAGATAAACTGTCTATTCATCTATTTAAACAATACCTTGCTTAACACAGCAGAACATTCTCTGTATTTTTCTGTTATTGTAATGTATGAAGGCTTGTTAAATGCCATGTCAGTCAAAGTTTTGATTGAAAGCATTCTGTCCATAGCTTCTCCACCCACTGTCAGCTCCCAGTCAGCAAGATACTTTAGTTCAGTGTCCATGTCAGATATGATATTCAGAAGGATTTTTTTTTATTGGTTGATGTTAGTTACCTTCACAATGTGCTCTGCATGTAAAGTTGAAGATATCTGCACATCTGCACCAAGTAGTCAGGAGTGTGAATTGTAATCTATCAAAATGACAGATGGGCTTCAAATTTTTCCGCCATTTAAAAAAAAAGGGTCTAATAAAATATATTCCATTAACGTGCATACATGTGTAGATATTGTGAAAGCATGGTAACTTTACTCAAGGTTATCATACATTTGCACAATGACTGGCCCTCTGTTGAATTACAGGCTAGTTGACAATGTTTTTTTTAGAGTTCATATAGGAAGGCTAATATGTGATGGCATGTTGGATGATCTCAGGTTCTATATACCTGGCAGAAGTTTCATCAGACCATCTAAGGCTTGCTGCTTGCTGCTGTCTTTCTGCTGCTGGCTGCGATGAGGTGGCGGGGCGGCTGGCAGCGCGCCTCCCGGCCACACTGCCTCCTGGATTACCTGCAGGTACACCACCCAGTACTTGGTGCACGTCAGGTTGGCTACACTCACGTCAAGCCATCTGAAACACACAGAAACAGCACAACAGTGCTTTGTAGTTAACACTGACTGGTTCAGCCATTGGCTAGACCCAACGGTGGGCTGAGGAGAAGTTCCACTCCCAGTGAAACAATTTCAGGCAATCCCATTATACACAGAGCTGTCTGTCATGTTAGGGTAGAATGACTCTGAAACCTGTTGAGCCAACCTGGATTTAGAAGTTCAATATTATGCCTGCCCGGACCAATACTCAGTGTTCCAGTGAGCTGGTAGTTTTACACGTAAGCTGCATTCCCACGGAGATTGGAAGCTATGAAGTACCAGAGGAGCAGCCCTGGCACAGCCTTGTACAGGAAGTGGTCTCAGACTGAGCCCATTTCCCAAACGTCTTAAACACAGCAGCTGAATTTAACATCTTATGATGAGTAAAGTAATAGGTCATTAGTTGCTGGAGGTTTTGACCTGGCCTTCTTCCTGCTGGGATTTACCATGTGAACAGTAGAAATAGCCAACATGCTGTCCAGACTTCAAAGAAGTTATGAAAAGAAAACATCTCTGAACAGCTCAAACAAGTCCTCACAGAACTATATTCCAGATTTCTAACATACTGTGTTTGGCAAAAGAATTCATACTCCTCGACTTTCTCCACATTTTATGATTAAGCAACAACTGACATGCTTCATTCAGATTTTAAGAGGATCTGAATGAAATAAAATGTCATGGTTTAGTACTTTTTCAGTTGTCTTCAACAAAGAGAAAAAATAAAAAGTGATCTCTATAAAACTGGCTGGAGAGTTGGTTTCCTCATTTAGCATATGCTCAGTGGAATAT